GAGAAAGTAGAAACATATATATATATATATATATATATATATATATAAGTTGATTAGGTTTGAATACTTGTCACCTGATCTAAAAGTTGAGAGCGTATGTTTCACACCGAAAAAGTTTTGGAATTTTCCAGCTGTATATGATGCTATTCTGAAAAATGTCAAAGTTCATATCGGATGATTTAAAGCAATATGTGCGAATCGCCGCAACTGGGCTTCGTGCTCATTATTAGTTATCCACAAGATGTATCTGCAGAGTATGTGGAACTGACGTATTCCAGAGAATTTAACTTAACTCACTTCATTTTGACGTCAGGGTTTATAATCCCTGCTGACTGGCGCTACGGTGCATAAAACTTAGGTTAAGGGCCCCAAGCTTCTAAGCATCCAGCATCAATCAGATCAAAGTACACGGTAATTACAGGCCCCCTACCTTGGTAGCCACAGTGAAAAGCTGATTGATATACTTCATCCATTACTAAGAGCTAGGTAATATGAAACTGGCTGCTGACGTCAGCCTAACCAACTCAGGTATGTAGGTTTAAGTCACAAGGTCTTGCTGCTTGAAGTATTAGGAAGTTGATTTCTATCGGTTTTATTGATGAGACCAAAAAGCAGTATACAGATCTTCATATTCCGAAATTCTATCCATTCTGATTAACACTGTTTGAATGATGTTTTACTGTCTCATACATGTTTTTGTTATAAAGTGTCACAATCTGTATTGACTAACTAGTATGAAGTAAAACATCTTGATCTAACTGGTATTCCACATGCTTTAATGTGAAAGTGAGAAGCTGAAGGTCGAAGTTGCGTCACAGTAGCATTCACATCCCTACAACCGTAATTTAACCGACGTCATCTATCCCGATTACTGTTTTCCCCTGTTAACTAGCTCACAATAAACTGTTTAATCACATTTCGTGTGTCCCACCTACTGAGTTAGCAGCACTTTTTGTGGAGTGTCATTGTTCATTGGCGCAAGAACACGTGAGAATTTCAGCCAGTGGGCCCCAGTTTCACCTGCTTCAGCATTACCAAATGGGTAGCACAATTAGCCCTCATAGAATATGTGTGGCGTGATAATGTTGATCTAATAGATAGTCAATTCAATTCTTCAACGATTTCAACTAGTGTAATTCACTGTGTTTTTCCTCACTACATAGGAGGAATGATCAATATCTATTCTTCTCTACAAAATGTTCATAAACGAAGGAAAAGAACAATGACAGAAGTTGTACTTGTAATTTTATCTTCATCATACAATAAAAATGCAACCAAAACATCATATCACTTGACTTAAGCAGAAAAGAGAAAAAGAAGTATAATGGAAAAGAGTAGACAAATAAGAGGCTATACTTACTCTATACTAGATAATTAATCTGCTGGGGTAATATTCTACTCTTTTATTTAAACCAGTACTACTCTGTTGTACTATAGTAGTATTGTTTATAAACTAAGTGAGAATTATGTAATAAGTGGTTGTGCATAATAATAATAGTACTTTGCTTATATTAATTTTCAAATCTGATACAGTTTACCTGCTAAAAATAACTCCCTGGTGAATGTGCGTGTATGTACTTGTGTATATGTCAGTTTCTAGAATGCTTAATGAGCGTGATATTTGCTCAACTAGGTATAGCTTCGCTTTAGGTTTTAGTTTTGCGGAATACAGGAAAAGAGATAAATAAAGTTATAAGTTTAACACTCTACTGATAAGTGATTCACATCTACGAGGTGTTGATAATGCAAGGAGGTTTAGGAACATGGGATAGGAGTTAATTCCATGCAGTGTCTGCATCATTGAGGAGGATTTACTACCGTTTTATCTTTTGCATGAAGGTCAAAAATCAACACGTGAATTCCTCTTTTCTGTTTAGTAGCAGAGAATGTATGATGATGGTTTCTAATAATTAACACGCATCTTGAAATTAAATGATAACTTTGTTTCAGTAACTCTTTTGAGAATAAATATGTATCATTATCGTGTTTTTACTAGGATAGCACTTTATTACCGGGAACCCAGGTTAAAACATCATATGTAAGAAAAGGTACAGTTTGAAAAATGTATTAGGATATAATTTCATGTTAGTATTTTTGTTACTTCACTGTATAACAGTTTTTTTATTGTTGTGGTAACTCATATGTTTTGAATTCATTTTTCAATGTCTTAGATTTTTATTCTTCTCTATTCAGCAGGGTTAACAGAAATTTCTAGACTGAATTATGCAGTAATATTTACTGATGACGTTTCGAGCACAATTTATCATCACTCATAATCATATAAAGTTACTCACACCACTTTCTTGCTTCATTTATATACATGAGTAAAATTGACTAGACATTTTACTCATGTATATAAATGAAGCAAAAAAGTGGTGTGAGTAACTTTATATGATTATGAGTGATGATAAATTGTGCTCGAAACGTCATCAGTAAATATTACTGCATAACACTGTGTGATTTATCAAAATAAAATCTTTTCCATAATAGAGATATACTCTACCACAGTGCAGAAGTATTATACTTATATGAAGTATACTTTATGCTATAATTATACTGATCTGATGCATGAACACTCACTATAAGAATTTTTTCCTTATGACAGTTAAGTCCCCTTCGGTGATTATCACTTTACTCCAACGCTTTTCATCATCATGTGATTGTATGTGTTTCCTGTTACATGTAAAATTAAAACTTATCTGTTCGTTAAATTTATAATCTTATTCAATTCATTTATCTAACTAGTTCATTAACATCTGGTACAAATGAAATCCCGAATGTACTTGTTATTTAGTCGCACTCATCAGTTAAAATGAATACCGTGTTCAGTAATAAATCAAGTAGTAACAACTGTGATCATTGTATCTTTTCATGTGAATGTGTGTTTTTTGTCTGTTGATCAGTTCGTGGGGTCGAAATGATTATCCATGTTATAGCTTTGAGACTGTATTGATTCGTAGCACTGGGTGAGGAAAAGGAGGGTACGGGAACCACACTTAATTAAGATCAGACTGTTTTGGGATCAAACATAGTTTCTGTTTCTTATTACCTATTATCCGATTGTTTTTTCAGTGGAAGTACGTTATATCCTATAATGACATCGGTTTGGCGAATACTGGAAACTAAAAGGCACTGAGAAATATATATATATATATATATATATATATATATATATATATAGCGCAAATATAGAAAGAATAAAGTCTTTGTTTCAGGGTTTCACAATTACACCCAACTGACTTCAAAACAACATTTTGAGTTTTCATGTTTTGTTAAGTCTTGTCATGACTAGTTTGAGTTCTTTGTTTTCTCGTACTGCTTTTTGAATAGTTTTGTTATTGTTATTACTTCTATTATTATTATTATTATTATCATTATTATTATTATCTTTGATTATAGCTTGATTTCACACCATTGTTTTTATTGTAATGTTTATTGTCATCTGCGTAGTCACTAGCATGTACCATTTCTTAATTGCTAAATATATCAACACTCAATCAGCAATTATGACAGCGTTTACAAAACTATTGATAAGATAGTTTATTTTTCTTTGGCCGAAGAGTAGATCATATGACCTTCACAACAAGCATATGCTGATATACAAATGATTGAATAGGAATCTAATATCTAATGGATCAATAAGTTAGGTCATTAGTAAAGGTCAAATCAGCAAGACATCTCCCTTGTGTGACTGAGTAAGTTTAATGCTAACGAAGATTAGAAATTAAAAAACAATTATTCCTGCTTTACGGTCAGTACACCAAAAAATTATAATAAAGCCTTCTTTCAGAGAATATGCGAGCACGCAGTACACCGAGTTTCCCTTCAATCAGGATTTATACATGAAGTAATAATGTGAAGCATATTATGTGACGTAGTGTTGTTGCATAGGAAGAGAGAACTAACACTGTAAATTGTTTATTCATTTCCTTCAAGAACTGCACAACATCTAGTTAGAAGCTAATTAAATATATACTGTTGACTTCATGTTGTGATCATATGACGCAATGGCTTGATTTAAACAATAAGAGATGCGGAAGTGTTTAATCATTTTGACAGATGAAAATTCTGGTTGCTCAGTTATCTAACCATCCCGTCAACCACTGTCTAATGGATTTTAATTTGGTACTCACCGGAGATTTGCGTGAACAGTTGAAAATCAACTACGTCCATGAACAGTACTCTATAATTAAGATAACCTAAATGTAGGTTAACTGTAACTAACATTTGAAATCAAGGTCATTAACAATGTCTTGCTGTCTGTTCGTATCGAAAAACTGAAATTATCTAAAATCTCTTCAGTTCTTGCCAGAAAACTATGTGAACTGGTACATGCAGCGCTACAACCAAATGCTTGTCAATTTCACAGTCAATGGGGAAAAGATTACCAGAAAACACCACAAGTGAACTAGATACTAAATGTTTGTAACTATTGTTTTTGCTTGAGTAAATATAGTCAAACTAGTGACAACAATTCATCGCCCTGATTAGTTTGAAACAGTTCATACTAAACAGTAGTTTACGCATACACATTACACTTTTGATGTTTTCAGTATTGATACGGTTGATTGTGTAGTGTGTGTCGGTGGCACAGCGACTGGGGCGCTCGCCGACCGTGCACATGGTCCGGGACTCGATCCTCTGCCGACGCACACCTGCTACGGATATCAAATCAACTGCGAATACATGTCATAGGAATGATTCAACACCTGTCCCAGATATCTGGAAAATTCTACTACCCCTACGACAAGTAGGAAAAGACAAAGAAAACCATAAAACTCCAATTTCGAAGTCGTGTGATTGTAATTGATATGATTATGAACAATAAATTCTGTTTGATCCATCATCCAGCAAATAATACTCTTTCACTGTGTGATACATCTAATTAAAAAAATATGGAATTGCTTACTAACACAGTGCCCCGAATTTTACAGATATATTCTCAAAACTAATTACATCTTCTGTTACTATTTATAGATTTTTTTTAACTTCCAATTTAGTGATTCATAGAGAAGAAACCATCTCAGAATGTGGGAAGGACACGTTATTGTCTAATAAATTCGAGAATCATCCCTCTTCGAATCTCCTAATAACCTTTCAGTTTAATTCTCCAAAATTTATAAGATTTATGTGCGAAACTTGTTTTCAATTACTGCTAATCAAACTACCTTAAAAACTGCTTATATGCAGTTAGCCTGTGATGATTTACAAAGATTAACATACTCATTTACCCTATGATTAAAGTCGAATTATTAACACCTCGACTCGGTAGTTGAGTTAGTGGATTCTTTGACAGTTAATCCAGAGTTTACTGCTTCTAGTTGCACTTCAATGCAGGTCTGACTTTCAGTTATATGATCGTCTCCTCATTTCACTGTGTCACACAATTTTAGTTATTGTTTAAAAGGAACTTTCTACTATATTAAAACGATCAGGTGAACCACATTTACTCTTTTTTTAGCCAATATCTACCTATCTGTATTGTGTTTAAGTGAAGAATTCCTTGCGATAATGTATATACTAACACTTCATTTTAATGGTCTCTTCATAATTTTCAACTCAATTAATATTAGCTCGAAAAAAGACACACAAAATAATGAAGTCTTAATGATTTGTTTATTTGACGTCTACTGATGTGTCACTTACGACAGAGAGGTGTGAACGCTTTAGCCTGTTTTAATCAACAAAAGATACACTGAATTTTTCAATGTTTCATTATTTTGTTTCTCATTTTCACTTAATGAAAATAGTGTACAACTTTTTCTTATTCTTATTCTTCTTTTTGCTATTTCAGTAAATTTAGTTTACAAAATACACCTTTTCTTTGCATGAATTTATTTATGGGATGTAATTGACGCCTGAAAGCGTTGAAATTCATTCGGACTTAATTTTACTTTTGTAGGTTTGCCTTGTTTTCTTCTGTTAATTTGATAGCGTGTTAACGGTGTTTGGGATAGTCACTAATTGATAGCCTGAAAGTAATGTAATGGATAGTGACAGAAAGCGAAATAAGGAAGGATAATTGGATTACATGGTGGATATCATCACTAATCGATAGCAGTTAGAGATTTGTTGAAAAGTAGGAAAAACTGGACAACTGTCATCTTCTAGTTTGAGACTCTTCAGTAATGCACTTTCTCGACTCCACCAGTGATGAAATCTTCTTAGCAATAAACTAGTTCCCCACAAATCAACACTTGTGTTGTGATTGAATTGTTGTAAGTCTCAAATTTGGTGCCTCTATTTGAAGTAATGAACTGGCGTCCTACAAGTTCAGCGAATCAAGATTTCATTCGATTTTCGATTTTCATCCATTGCATTAATTTTATCTTCACAAAGTAAATTTGAAAATGCCCATCAAGATAATTTAAGAACGGGATTTAAGTAGACAAATACATATTTTCAGTAAATTATCATTATATAAAAGAAAGTATCAGACGCAGACATCTGAAATAAGTGAGTATGTGTGTAGTCTTTTAAGAGCATTGGTTTTCAAACTCACTTTGCTCTCAACACATCTTAGGATAACAACTGGCTCTAATATTTCATAAAGTGTTCTGCAGGAATGAATGTGTCAAGCTATCATTTCCACTTTGTATATAATCTTTATATTTTGTTCTCTTACCTTATTTTAGGTGTTTTTCGCTATCAACTTTCTTATTTACGGAGTAGATGCCTTTTTCTTATTCGCTTTGTATCGAGTCAATGGTGCTTATCTTCAAGAGCAGACAAATCCAAATCCACAAATGAATAGTAAAGCTCGACCACCCCCGACAACATATGATAATACAGCATTCACTAATCAATAGAGTGAAAAGTGAGGGGAAAAAAGATGTAGTGAAGAAATACTTTAACAAAAATTGTTCTATACAAATAAATAATATTTCTATTTGAGCAATCAAAAAAAAAAACTGATGTGAGTATTATTCAATTTCTTTATATAGTTTTCTACATACAGTTTTATATTTTATTCAGAATTCAGGCGATGTAAAGAAGAAAAAATAAATATGAATTTTTTGGTTTTGTTACTTGTTATTTTTCATAGCGATGTCAACCAACGCACTGGCAGAGTTTCAAAGGTACTCAGAAAAATTATCTCTTTGCTGTATTACGGAATTAGTGACACATTTTTATGTCTAACACATGCTTAGAGAATAGTAGTAATATCAGAAATATGGGTGGAGTGAGTTCAAAAGTGTTTATAACTGTCGTAGTTATTTGTAAGCTAAACAGTCGAATTTCCATGAGTTCAGTTCTTGAGGTATAGTGAACCTGTCACGTTTTTGTGATCTGGACAGATTGACAGACATAGTATCAGGAACAAAGTTTTCATAACCTGTTTAAAATGGAACTGAAAAAATATCATTTTTGATTACTAATTAAAAAGCAGAGTAACTCAGAGGAAGCATTCTCGACCTGTCATCCAAGGGACAATGAATTGGCACCAAGTACTGCTAAGAAATCTGGTACATCACTGGCTAAATGTTGGAATGCTCGTCAGCCAATGGGGTCTGGTTTTGCCTCCCGGCCGTTGCACTTGTAAACTTCTCTTAGTTAGTAGTAAACATAAAAAGGAGGAAATTCTGGGAATAAGGCCTGCAACCCTACCCTTTAGAAACAACTCACCCGTTATTAAAATTTCAAAGGGCTGGAAGTCTTATCTTTCACCCAGAATGTTAAAGCAATACAAATACTTAAAAGGTTAATAAAATGTGCGGAATTTCTAAAATGATAAATATGGGCGAAAATGTTTTCCTGTAGTTTTTTATATTTGACAGTGTTAATGACGGCGAATGATAATTAAGTTTCTCTTGAGTTGAGGATTTAACCAATGCTTTGGACAATCCTTGAATGGATGAAATCAAAAGTGAAGTTTGCATTAGTACCATATATCCATATACAAAAAGTTTCTTATAACTAATTACTCTACACATTTTCTTCCTGGCTTTTTATCGGCTAGTAAATTAAGCAAGGTTTAACAACGCGTCTGCGGACAGTCGAACCCCTGACCATGTGTGTCTGAACAGCATCCTTCCGTGGAACCATCATTGCATATGGAACTATCATTTTAATGTACAGGTTTAAAATGAGCTGACAGCAGAATGTTTAGATCAGCTAAATCTAGGTAGCAAGGACATTCGTTTAGTGAAAGTGACTTGAACCTACTCAGACAGGCAGAAGTGTATACATTAATATAATCCTACTATCACATATGGTCTTCTTGATTATATGAACTCGATCACGCAGCACACCATGGGGAGTGAGAAGACAGACAGACATTGCACTGACAAAATGACCCTAATGGATCTGAACTTTTTGGGGGATTAATATCTCGTGTGTTGAAAAGTTGAAGATATGCAGGCAAGAACCAACCACTTAGGAGAGTAGATATCGAAGATAGGACTTCATGTGAACATAAAGAAGAGAGAAGTGATGTAGCTATCCAGCCAACAACAACAACCGATATCAACCACCGTCAGTGGGAGAACTTCACCTGAGTAGCATCGTTTCAACTACAGACGCATGCGGATGGTTAAGCCAGTCAGAAAAGGATTGGTAATTTAAAATGGGCATTCATTATTATGAAATTGATGTGGAGACCCGCAACACTTAGCAGAAGGAATAAGATACAAACTTTTAGCGCTAATGTGAAGTCATTGCTTCTGTATGGTTCAGACAGTTGGCACGTTAGCGAAATCATTTGCAACAGACTTCAGACTAACACCAACAACTGCTTTAGCTCAATTATGAAGATCCGATAACCCATCAGAAAGGATTAGCAATGTGGACTCTGTCCTGCGACAAACCAGTCAAGAACCTACCACTCAACGAATATTTCAATGGAAATACAGTTTGACCAGACACATTTCGAAGAGTCCATCGGGTTACATCACAAGCCACGCACTGGAATGGCACCTGCACTAGAAACGATTATTTTGGCGTCTCAGGGTGAAATAGGGGAGGTTGTGTGAGTAGAAGGTGAAAGCTTATAGTCAGTCATCAGGCCAAGTGAAACTGATAGCCAGGGACAGCATACAACTGTGACATGTTAACTGAAGGAACAATCAATATGATAACATTATTTGAGTATACATTTGAATACATCTGGGCTTTTTCAATTACAAATTATATACTGTTTACTATTATTGGAAGTTAATCTACTGTAAATCCTGATTGCTGTAGTACCAATGAATGATGATTCTCTTAGTAGGTGTATTTCGCCGTGAGTTCAGAAAAAAATAGTGTCATGTGGCCTACCATATGCCTCTGTAACTGTTTGAATATCTTGGAAACAATGGTCAGTATAAGTTATGGGATCCTTAAGACTTCGTTCTTTTCAACTCAGTATGTATATGTATATTTCCCTACATACCCATTCATTATAAATGTTTCGATATGTTTTATCATAAATATTGCATTTATAGATGCCTGCATGGTAGATTTAACTGTAAATGCATCGAATTACGGGTGGAGACTAATAACAAAGACTGTCTGTCTAATACAGTTTTAATCCGAAATGATCTAATACCAGTAAATCGAACAACAACAATACGGAGAAGACAGGAATTTAGAAATTCATATTTTATTATCTTCATACAATAATTTTAAACACAAACAGCAGTGAACATTTAAAAAGTACATTAAATGAAGCAGTGAATCACCACAGTTTAATGACTCTGTAAAAGCGTACAGTCATGTCTCTAGAAGTCTTAAGCCATCCTTACTGTAGGCTGTATGTTTTCATTGTTGAGCACAAAAACAAGAATGACAAACTAGACGGAAAATAAACTGTAGTGCGTTTTATTTTGTTAACTACCAAGTCAATAATTCTTTGATTAATTAATATCAGCTTAAACAGAAAGTCTTCTTTTTACCGTCTTATTTTAATTTCGACTTGTCACTGAATTAGCAGTAAACTACTGAGCATACATGACGTTCATCGAATCGTTTCGATTCAAAAAAAGACGTTTGAGAAGTTCAATAAGTGATGATAAATTCTATTATTATTATTATTATTCACTGTTTTCTGTGAATCAGGCTATTAGCTATAACTAAAAGCCAGAGAAGATAATTCATGCAAAATCATTAAGAGATTCCGAAATCTGTTTAGTTATTTTAGTGTGTATATGGTTGAATGTGTCTGTGTGTACAAGACACCGCTGTCATTATTCAATTCCAAATATATAAATATTTAATTTTTGTTTTTATAAGTTAGTCAAAATAAATGTTATGTAGATTCATTTTTTCAGTTTAATGTCATTATTATTAGTAATACTTTTACAACCATTATTATTATTATTATTATTATTATTATCAGGGTTACCTAAATGTCAGTACGTTCAAATATGTTTGTTGGCGCAGTCACTACTTAAGTGAATCGACCTAAACTAGTAACTTTCAGTTACTCGGCTTAATTGCTTATGTATACCAGTTTAGTATTCATTTGAATCTAGATGACAGTGATCTATAGGTACATGCCCATATATATATATATATATATATATATATATATATATATATATATATATATATATATATTCACACGCATGCTTTCATTCTGAGCATATGAGAATCGTCATTTTGATTAAATCAGTGAATTTATTTTTGGTTCAGCACATAACTACAGTTCTGTCAAGGTGATTATATTGATTATCCATTACTCGA